ATGCCGCTCTTTAATGTGGTTCCCGATTGAAGACTGAGACGCTTTGTGTTCTTCAGCACGTTGGTAGAGGTGCCGGAAGATGTAGCCGACATCGTCTGCATCGCACAGACCACACTTAAAATAATACGCAACGCGCTGCTGATTGATGATGTTGGGCTTCTTTTCCGTTGGTTTTAACTCATATCCGATCTTTTTGTTAGTGTAAACAGGAAAAATGTCAGTTCCAACTTTTCAGCTTAGGTCGCCAAGTTGCCTTCGTACGGAATTTGCTGATGTTTGGTCCTTAAAAGGAAGTATAATTCGCACGGGTATAATTTTCTCGTTAGACGTTTGATTGATCTCTGGATCCCGAGACACTTTTTTCGTGATGAAATCATTTATGGTCGAATGCAGTAGTTGGGTTGAGTACTTGAGACGCGAGAAGGTTTCGGTGAGACGTTCGCACTCTTGGTGAAAAAATTGCCAGTTAGATGACAACTTAAAGGCACGATTTAGCATTGTTTTAAGCAATGATTGTTTATATCTCACGTCGATGTGACTCTGATAATGCAATCATGTCATTATCATTACCACGTCTTGTATTTAGTATATATGTAAAACTTTTCCTTTTCATCAGCTTGAAAATGACCTCAGCGAGGTCGAGACGTCGTTCAAAATTATTATCACTAATTTATATCTTGAAAACCATTTAAATTGCGTTCCAAATTGTGGGTCATGTGTCTAGTTGAAATTTTAAAGGCGAAGAAAACTGAAAATTGTTTCAATTTAGATTGTGGGCAGGGAATATTTAAAACGATTGAAGATGGCATACCCAAGGACATGATTGAAAAATACAATTTTTTTAAGTGCCTCGATTTATTGACAAACAATAAAACGAGAGTCAACACTTGATCGTTTTTGTATCTTTCATACCGCAGTATTGAAGCCACAAAAGGAGTTTTAGTCTAGAACTGCTTTGAATAAAAAAACCATTTTCGGGATGTGGGCCTTTAAGTCAAATCGTTAAGATTAAATATGCAGTTCTTACAAATAAATATCTACAAGCTTAGTGCAGTAAAATTTTGTATAAAAATGAACAGTACATTTAGCCACCGAGAAGGATTTAATAAAGTGCCGTTACATAATAAAACATCCATGAATTTACAGGCTTGTAGAAATAAACGACTTAAGCAGTATTATTACATTCTCTTACTGCTACAATTGTCAGAATCGACCGAAACTTCCCAACCACCTCAATATAATTAACAATTATTCCACGAGCGCGCGTTGGATATGAGATGATAGATAGCCAACGAGGCGCGTAGCACCGAGTTGGCTATGATCATCTCATATCCAACAAGCGCGAGTGGAATAATTGTTTTATTAAAAA